TTCCCATGTTTACTTTGATAAGAGTTTTATGTACCACGCCATAAGGATATTATTATAGTTGACAGATAATATAAAGTAGTGTGTGGCAGTAGTGTGCATTTTTCTATTTACTGAAGGTATGTTTCTGTCTTGAAGTGATGATTGATCTTTCATTGGAGTAGTGACTTAAAGAAGTCTTTAAGAAGGAGAAAGATGGCTTTGCAGAAGAACTCTGACCTGTGATTGAACTCCGATCTGTGATTTCCTGAACATTTTTTGAGTTGGTTGTGGGAAAAAAAATCTTTCCTTAAAAAAAAATAAAAAATAATATATATATATATATATATATATATATATATGCCTTTAATCACACACACACACACACATATATACATTTAAATATATAAACATTTTTTTATATTATTTTTATATATTTATTTATTTTAAAATTTTAGTCATGGGGAAAACAAAGTGCACCCTCTTTGAATTCTATGGTTTTACACATCAGGACATAATGATAATCATCTGTTCCTTAGCAGGCCTTAAAATAAGGCAAATAGAACCTCAGATGAACAACAACACATGACATATTACACAGTGTCATGATTTATTTAAAAAAAAAAATAAAGCCAAAATGAAGAAGCCATGTGTGAAAAGCTAAGCACACTTTATCAAACAAAGTACTCTGTGCAATATCAGTGCTTAAACGCAAGTGCATAAAACAGAATTAACCCCTTAAGGACTGAGCCAAATGTACACGTTGTGATCAAAACAAAACGTAAACAAAAACTTGAATTTGCGCTATATGTCTGTTTAGGCGTAATTCACCTCTTTCATATTAAATACACGCACACTTATTATATATAATTTTATTCAGGGGAAACAGGGCTTTCATTTAACATCAAATATTTACGTATGAAACATAATTTAATATGAATAAAATATAAAAAAATGGGAGAAAATGAGAATTATGTTTAAATAATTTTGTTCTACATGACATTTTAACGGTGAATGTCATAATACTGTTTGCTTTTACTGCAATAAAATACACACATTTGTATTCAGCAATGTCTCCTGTGTAAAACAGTACCCCCTATGTACAGTTTTTATGTCGTTTTGGGAAGTTACAGGGTTTTTCACATTGAAAAACGCCAGATTGGTTAGGTTGCCTTTGAGACCGTATGGTAGCCCAGGAATGAGAATTACCCCCATGATGGCATACCATTTGCAAAAGTAGACAACCCAAGGTATTGCAAATGGGGTATGTTCAGGTTTTTATAATAGCCACTTGGTCACAAACACTGTGACCAATAACCCCTTAAGGACACATGACATGTGTGACGTCATGATTCCCTTTTATTCCAGAAGTTTGGTCCTTAAGGGGTTAATGGCCATTGGAGTAATTAAATGACCTCCATTTGTTTAAATATACATAGGGATTTAGGAGAGAGCGCAGATAACTTTAGTTAGTTTTTACTGTATGTATTGGGGCTTATTTGTACTGTGGTCGCTGCTGCCACCCAGGAGTGATGTGAGTGAGCGCAGGACTTTTTTTTTTTTGTATTTGTATTTACTTTGTATCACACAGCCTTGTTACAATGCTGCCGCCCATCCCATGTGTTCCCTATTAAGGGCTGACAGGTATATAGGGGTGTATATAAAAAAAAAATACCCTCTATGTCTCATTAGTGATATCTTTGCCAGAAGCTCAAGGAAGCAAAGTGAAAGGTCAGTGTAGGAACCCACCTGAGGGGGGTCTGCCTTGACGTTGGCTGGCGGGCATTCCCTCCAATGGCCATTGGAGTAACTAAATGACCTCCATTTGCTTAAATATACATAGGGATTTAGGAGAGAGTGCAGGTAACTTTTTCTTTGGCTTTTACTATATATATATATACGTATATCATTTTTTAAAATTATTTTTATTTCTATATAGCTATTTATATAGTGATATATACGTATATACTTATGTATATATAGTGTTCAAGTAGAGATTGTAGCCGTATTAGTCCAGTGATGTAGATGTAAAAAACAGATAAAATTCTTATCTTGTAATACCTTTTTTATTGGACTAACAGAATTTTTTAATGACAAGCTTTCGGGAGAACCTCCCTTTCTCAAGTCTGAAGCATTTCTGAGCAAAACGACACATAGAATTCAAAGTTGAGTTGTGATACAGGGGTTAAAGCGACATGAGTGTAGATAAGACACAGGTTTGTTAGAAAATAGACACCATCTTAGCAGAGGGTCATAAATATCTTGTTGAAGAGAAGAGTAGGGGGGAGAGAGAGGAAAAGAAAAACAAACAAGCAGACAGTGCACAGGATGATACACTTTATACATGCACACACACAGAAATATGTATATGTGAACGCATATTTCTGTGTGTGTGCATGTATAAAGTGTATCATCCTGTGCACTGTCTGCTTGTTTGTTTTTCTTTTCCCTCTCTCCCCCCTACTCTTCTTTTCAACAAGATATTTATGACCCTCTGCTAAGATGGTGTCTATTTTCTAACAAACCTGTGTCTTATCTACACTCATGTCGCTTTAACCCCTGTATCACAACTCAAGTTTGAATTCTATGTGTCGTTTTGCTCAGAAATGCTTCAGACTTGAGAAAGGGAGGTTCTCCCGAAAGCTTGTCATTAAAAAATTCTGTTAGTCCAATAAAAAAGGTATTACAAGATAAGAATTTTATCTGTTTTTTACATATGTATATATACATATATATATATATATTATTTCGTTCTACATGTATTTTGATATCAAAATATATGTATTAATTTTAAAATACAGTTAGAATGAATTTACACATATATATTTTTTATTATTATTTATTTTATTTTATTTTTAACGTATGTACATATTTATTTTAATCAATAATCATTGATTATAATCATTGATTATAATCAATATCATTCTACATGTATTTTGATATTAATATATATATAATTATATATATATATTAATATTAAAATACACTTAGACAGTGTATGTGTATGTATATATATATATATCTATATATACTTAGATCATATATATATAATAAATATATATGATCTAAGTATATATTTTATTTTAAACTGTAACTTTAACATTTATTTTACTATTTATAGGCAGCAGGGGGAGTACCTGTCATTACAGGCACTCCCCCTGCTGGCATTGCTATGGACGGCTATGCCGATCACATGGCCCAGGGGGGCCAAAAAGGAAGGAGGGGGAGTCCCTGGGCTGTCAGGTGAGTCCCCACACCGCGATCGCCAGCGTGGGATCGCCGCCGACCGGGTAAGTACATAGGACGGCTTGGGCGTTCTATGCCGCCCGCAGGCGTTTAGAGCCAGGTCCCCAAGGACGGCATAGAACGCCCACCGTCCTTCAGGGGTTAATAAAAAAAGCAGCTACCACACTATGGGAATTTCTCCTTGAACTACACACAAAACATAGGTTGAAAATAATGGACTGGCTGTAACAACCACTAGTTCATACAGTGTGGCGCTAAAAGATAATACTTACCCTTATGTGAAAATGGGTCGATGTGCAACAGAGGCTAAACCAAAAATAAATAAATAAATAAACAAACAAACAATATGATAAAATATAGGCTGTAGGTAAGTATGGATATAAAATATATAGCAAAACACTCACATATATAGAGCCAGATAGGATAGGCTCTGATCACATAGGTAGGTGTGTTCTCATGTGACACAGACCCTCTTCTATCTTTATCCAAATTAACTCAGGAAAGGGGAGACAAAGAGTATAAAAGAGCAATAGTTCTTAGTAAAGTTTGTCAATATTTATGTGACTGGAATATACACACATAAACCCCCTGCTCACCTTCTCTAAAGCCTATAATCTTTTTAGACCAGCTAAGGAACAGATGCTTAATATTGTCTTGATATGTAAAATCATAGAATTCAAAGAGAGTGTACTTTCTTTTTCCCATGACTATATATATAGTCAATACATTGTATATGCACATATCTGCACACACCAGTCAAGACTTGCTTTTACAACATAAATCTTAAATTTGCAGTGTTATTACTACTGCAAGGGATTCTGGGTGAGCATATGCAAATAAGTTCCACAAAGAACCACCTTTTTGCCACATTATACCACTTTGAACATGAATTCTCTGGAGTTTATGTCTGCTGAACATCTTCTTTGAAACACAACTCAGGAAGAGATGCAAAGTCACATAACCTCTCATGGACAGCCATTTCATTGTTAATGCAACTCTTTAGCATGAGGTTGGTTACTGGCCTGCTAATGAGGTGTGGCGTTACATGGGGAGCACAAACCAAAAAAGTTGTGGTAGGAAAAACAAGTAATTGAAAACCCTCAGTCAGTGGATAATTAATACATTGCTAAACACAGATATGCACAAACCAGTCAAGCCATAAGATTTGCTTTCCAAACAGAAATCTCATGTATCTTATGAATGTGTGAATTAATGCGTGCGTTAATGTATTGTTAATCTAGAGTTCAGTGAAACTGACGGTTAGCACATTCAGTTTGTAAATATGTGTTTGAAAACATTCAGTCTTGCTGCCCTCTACAATATGTTGTTTCAGGCCCAAACCTGTTCAGCTTACGCAGAGACAGACCTCTGCCGTGTAAGAGATTTCTGGCAGTATATAGTAACACAGCACAAATTTAAGAGTCTCGCTCCTTGAACTGATTTATCTTTGATGTCAGACACGCTTGTAGCTAGGTTTTCTTGATTCTCTAGGGAAATATAGATGCTTTTTTTCCAGAGGGTAACCCTCCAACACTTTAATTCTTCATTAGACTTGGTGAAGTAGCTCACTTACGATATAAAGTTACTGTTATAGCCTGAATCGCAATAAGAAAGGTCTTAAAGGAAGCAAATCTAGCACATATATTAACCAAGTAGACATATTAATGGGTGTCAGATTTTAAAAAAAATGAAAAGTAACAGCTGTAGAACAGAAATATTCCCCTACTAAGATATATCCAGATGACATTATGATTGCAATTTGTAAGAATATCAAAGAGATAGAATTTATATCCTCTTGCAGTGTTTCCCAAACCAGTCCTCAAGACCCACCAACAGTCCAGGTTTTGTTAGTATCTCCATTGGAATAAAACAGGGAAATACATAAATCCTGGACTGTGAGGACTGGTTTGGGAACCACTGTCCTATTGTATAAACAACTATCAGAAATATACAGTAGAGTTATATGTAAGGAATAATTGACGACAGGCCGTTGAATCATTAGAAAAATAATGCACAAAAATAATTCAATGGCCTGGAGTCAATTATTCCGCTTATACTACAGTTACCACACCTCAAAGCCTTGTTCAGATGATGTATTTCAAGACATTTGTCAAGTTTTTGTCATTAAAATGCTCTTGTATGTAGGACTAATTTCTTACGCAACTGTAATGCGGTCAAGACCTGTCTGGAACTACTTCAGCCATGTGTCTCCCTGAAAATAATGCACACCTTAGAACAGTCGTCAACCAATCAGATTGAAGCATTCAACGGCCCTGTAGTATAAATGTTTATAGTAACTTCCAAGCTCTGGGTTTGCAGTAAGCAACTATTTATGGCCATCTGTCAAACAGGTATCTGGTTTGAGAGCTTCTGTAAATGTGTTCTCGTTTAATTTATTGTTAACATACCCACCTTCTTCCTTCGAGTGGCTGAATGGAAATCCTGTGTATATTAGGGCGGGGAGGGGTGCATGCAGAGAAAGCCCTGTGTTCTAGTGTATCTTAGCTGTCATGCACATGACATGTTTGCTGCTAACTAAATCCTGGAACCTTCATATAAATGTGCCATGCTTAAAGGGACACTATAGTCACCAGTTCAACTACATCTTAATGTAGTTGTTCTGGTGTATATAGCATATTCTTGCAGGATTTTTGTAAACAATGCCTTTTTAATGAAAAGGCAGTGTTTACATTGCT